AGGTGAAATCTTTGGAAAGTATTTAGATCATGAGGGTGGAGCCCTCATGAATGAGATTAGTGCCCTTATAAGGAACCTCAGGTAGCTCTCTCACCCTCTTTTCACTATGTGAGGATACAACGATACAACGAGAAGTTGGCATCTGCAACTGAGAAGAGGGCCCTTGCCAGAACTCAAATGTGCTGGCACCCTGATCTTAGACTTCCAGCCTCCAGAACTGTGAGAAATCAATTTCTGCCACCCAGTCTATCGTACTTTGTTATAGCAGTCCAAAGTGACTAAGCCAACCATAAACTAAGTGGTTTAAAACAATGCATATTAGCACAATTCACAATTGCAAAACTATGGAAACAACTCAAGTGCCCATCAATTCATGAGTGGATTAATAAAATGTGGTTTATGTATACCATGAAATACTACTCAGCTTTAAGAAACAGTGGTGATATAGCACCTCTTGTATATTCCTGGACATAGCTGGAACCCATTCTATTAAGTGAAGTATCTCAAGAATGGAAAAACCAGCACCACATGTACTCACCAGCAAATTGGTATTAACGGATCAATACCTAAGTGGACAAATAGGAGTAACATTTATCGGATGTTAGGAGGGTGGGAGGGGGGAAGAGGGGATGGGTATTCATAACCACAATGAGTAAGATGTGCAACGTTTGGGGGATGGACATGCTTGAAGCTCTTACTCAAGGGGGGAGGGAGGCATGGGCAATATAAGTAACCTTGACACTTGTACCCCCATAATACACTAAAATAAAAATATGATAATATTAAATAAATTAAAAAAAATTAAAACAACGCATATTTATCATCTCAGGCCAGATAAGGCTCACTTAGCTTGTCTGCTCAGGGTTTCAGAAGGCTGTCATAAAAGTGTCAGTTGGGGCTGTGGTCTTATCTGAGCCATAGGATCCTCTTTCAACATCATGTGGTTGTTGGCAGAATTAATTTTCTTGCAGCTGTAGAACTTGTAATTGTGTCATCTTTGAGGCCATCGGGAATACATTTCTTTGACTTTCGCTGTTTCCACCTCTTAGCCCCCTTGTTAAGAGATCACCTGATTACGTCAGACCCAACAAGACAATCTCTCTCTTGATTAATTCAATTCATATGGGCTTTTAGTTTGACCTGCAAAATTTTATTTTCTCTTTTGATATATAATGTAATAGAATTATGAAAGTGATATCCCCACATCAAGAGAAGCATAAAGTAGCATTGGTCATTGGGGTCGTATTAGAATTTTGCCAACCATAATAAACATGTAAAGAAGCAGAAAATATGACCCACATTTTTGGGTCATAATGAGAAAAATCAATGGGTATAAATCAACCTAGAAACGACACAGATCCTAGAATTGATAGACAGGGACATTAAATATGGATGTTAAATAGGGATAAGAAAGACATAAAAAGATACGAATGTAGCTTTTAGGGATGCAAATTATAATGTTTGATATACAAAGTGCACTAGATGGAATTAACAGAAGATTAGAAATTTCAGAAGAAAAGACTAGTAAATTTGTAGCTAGATTTTTATAATTGACCCGAAATAAAGCACACGGAGGAAAAAAAGAATAAAAAGAGAAATGGGAAACTCAAAGCAGCCTAAAATCTGAGTAATCAGAGTCCTAAATTTGGGAGTAGGAAGAATAGAAAAAATGTCAGAGGAAATAAGTCTAAACATTTTCAAAATTTGATAACCATAAAATCATGGATCTAAGATGCTCCATTATCCTTAAGTGTACAGAACATGAAGAAAATTACAAGTCACTTCAAAATTACACTTTTAAATCCAGTGATAAAGAGAACCCTTAAAAGCATCTAGAATGAAAGACATGTATAGAGGAACAAAAATAAGAATGACATGAGGTTATTGTTGGAAACAATGTATGGGAGAAGTGGAACAATATTTTTAAAGTACTGAAAGAAAAAAAAATTTTGTTGGGCAGGCTTTCCCCCTTAGGCAAAATTTTTTTAAATTTGTTTTTTTTTTAAACCCCCAAGATCTATTTATATGTTGCCTAGAAAAAAGCCACTTTAAGCATAAGACAAAAATAGGACATGAGTATAGGATGGGATTAAGTGTACCATTAATTAACACTAACATTAATTAAATTTAAGCTGGAGTGGCTATAAAGATTTAGATTTCCAAAGAAAAGAATAGCACTAAGGATAAAGAGGGTCATTTCATAATGATAAAGATGTTATTAATAATTTATCAAGAAGACATAACAATTACAAATGCTTATATACCCAAATATTGAGCTTCAAAATGCAAAAAGTAAAACTGATGGAACTGCAAGTGCAATAGTCAAAACTAAAGACATAGTACATGATTTCGAAATCCCTGTCCAAAAAGATAGAACACTAATTCCCAATTGACCTAACTGACTTTATGCAACATGTCATATAACAACAACAACAGATTACACATTATTTTCAGGAGTACCCAGATTTACCAGGGTAGAACATATTCTAGACCATAAAAAGTCTTCATAAGTTTAAAATGATTAAAATCATGCTAAATACCTATCCTGACCATACTGGAATTAAATTAGAAATGAACAAAAATCTCTTAGGAAAATCATCAAATATTTGAAAACTAAATAACACACCTCTAAGTAACTCATGCCAGAGGTAATGAAAGTATGTTGTGGTATACCTAATAGAGGAACATGGAAATCATGTGACTTTCACTGGAAAAAATGTTTCACTGGGGAATAACATTGCAAGTCTTGTACATATTAATATATTTCTGGTTCTCAGAAAAGCCCCTAAAATAGGGGCTCAAGAAATAAGATTATTTTGAATGAATGATTGTCCTCTGAGTTAATAGAATGAGGATTTGTTGACCATTGGCCATTCATCCAAAACTTGTCTTCCCATTGTTCTACCTGTATTTCACAAGATGAATCTTCCTGTTGCAAGAAGGTTTTTTTTCAAAGGTAACCTCTGACCTGGAGGTAGACCTGGCAGAAGTGAAGAACAGGAAATTTTGTTGAACTATAATTGAGACATCTGAAGATTATTTTTGAAAATTATTCCAAAAGCAATACACATTAACATAATAAAACTACATTAAGTAAAAGGTGAAAGGTATGGTTTCTTAAGATTATTGTGAAAGTATTGTGAGAACTCAAAGGTCATAGAACTATATCAAGTAACAGGTGAAAGACTCCCTTTTCCCTCTTTAAGTTCGTTCCCTTGAGAAATCATTGTTGCTGGTTTGGAATGTCTCCCAGGCTTTCCATGGCAGTACATGTAGACTGAATGTATTATTTTAATGGCTGGTTACTAATGGTTCATAATTTACTTAAACTATCCCTGTTGATGAGCATTTGAATAGTTTTCTTATTTTAACTGTGCACCAATGAAACATTCTTATACATAACATATTTTTATTGTTTGGTGTGTATTTCTGTAGAATAAATTTTAGAGGTGAAATTGCTGGTTCAATTAGAAACAAGGTAAGGGAAAGGTCTTTAAGCAAAAGGCAGATAGTCTCCAAATTCTGACTATTTCCCAGAGAGGGCCCTACTTTCCCTAGCAGTCACAGCAAAGAAGGGAACATAATTGATTATGTGATTCATTGTCCTGAAGGAAAGACATTGAAGGCAAAAGTTGTCTTTGAGCAGAACCAGGGGAATAAACACCAAAGCAAAGCAGAGCTTGGTCAGTTCAGGTGAGAGTCAGCCTGTTAAAAAGAGTGGACTTGACGCCTTTCTTATCTTTCTGGAACATCAGTTGCAGTTATCTGGATAGCGCCTTAGCCAAGTGCTGAAGTGCAGGGGAATTCTGCTTTCTGCCAGCCAGATAGAGTACGTGCTATTGAAAGACTTTGGCATTACACAAGCTTTTTTGCATCTGTGGAAGGTCTGGGAAGTGTAGTGGTAGGACAACAAAGATGGAAGTTAGTCAAACCACAGGGAAAGCTGGTCATGGGAGGTGTGGTACCTGACTGGCTGGTTGTAAAAATAATAGTGAGGTCTGGCCATGGCCAGATAGTGTGATATGTACTTTCTGTAAATGATGATATTTAACTCTCACCATACCTCCAGCAGGAGGTATCATGCCTATTTTATAGATGAGGAACTAGAGGAACAGAACAGTTAAGTAATTTGCCCAAGTCACACAGCTAGACTATGGGGAATCTGGGACTTGAATTCAGACCTGGTACTTAAAAGGCACCAAATAAGTTTATTCTCTATAAGATGTTGAGACTTGCAAATTAGGCCAGAGCAGGGACTTTGACATTGTGAGGGGTTCAAAGCGCACTATGGTAACTTGGTAAGTGCAGGGAGTCAGAGATCCTTACCCAGTGTTCACAGAATAACAAGAGGCATGCATGTCATAACCGTCTAGATACTTGAAGTTTAAAAAGATGCCACATAAACTCTACATCACATCACCTGTCAGGAGCTAGGAATTAGGGGTCTAGTGAAGAGATCAGGCTTACTTTTCCATTAATGAAAAGAGAGGGTTTGCCTTTTGGCAGTCTGTCCCTCTGCAGCCCTCCCCACCTCAGTGCTGGAGGGCATACATTTTGAAGGGCTCATGACCAGACCATGGCTCTCCCTGGGGATTACTGGGCAATCCCGCTGTATATAGCCCAGGAAGACCCCATTGCCTTGTGAAATTGTGCAGCCCCCATTATTCATTTCTTAAAAGTCATGGCTATGCAAATCATTCCAAGATAATTTACTAAATGCTTGCAATTCCCAAAGAGGAGATAATTCCCAAAGAGGAGAAAATTGCAGCAGGAGAGAGCTCTTCTTTCATGCTACAGTAAAAGGCACATCCCCTAATTTTTTTCTATCTTGGAGATACCTGTGGTAGGATTAGAAGGGTCATTAATTTTTAATGCCACTGAAGGAAAAATCACAGTGTGTGATCATAACAGTCATTGCCGTATTGCTGCTTTGCTAATTTAGAAGAAAAGACTGTCAACATAAGTTATTTTACTTTTAATTTGATGATTTATTTGTTCATTTCACAAGGATTTATTGGGTGAGGGCCAGGCTCTTTCCTAAGTGTTACAGATATAGAAATGACAGTCAATGCCCTAAATTTCATGCAAAGATATGGCAAGGCTATGAAGTTAACTGGCAAGGTGACTTGGCAATCCACTGGAACAAGTTGTGCTTTTAATTTTCAACTCCTGCTCTGTGGTTGCAAAAGATAAGAATTTCTTTTTGCTCAGTCATAGGAAGTTCGTACTTTCAGTGCAGGTCATGAGCCCATAGTTTAGTCATTTAACTTCGTCATTTTCCTTTCTTGTTCAGTCCTAAAGAAAGAATTCCATCATATTCAAATTTCTTCTATCCATCAAACCACTGTATGATGGCAGCGACACAGTTTCCCCAAAGCCATATCTTCAATGAACACTTTATGGCTGGTGTCCACAGACAGTAATTCAGCTAGCAGCTCCTGCTTGTATGCCATAGGCTGCCAGACACCCACCTCTGATTAGTGATGGGATTTGCAGTTGTCTTCAATAACTAAGCAGATAACCAGTCTCAGATATTCGATAGCTCTTTGAGCTCATGAGACAACTAGTAAACTGCTCTTAGAAAATGGATAGGGATGGAGGTTGGGCAGTTTAGATAAGCAGAATTTGTTTATAATGCTCACACAGGAACAACCACCACCCCTTTCACTTTCTGACTACCACTGACACCACAGGTACACATCCTAAACCTTCTTTGCTTCTGCATATCATTCAGACTCTAAACCTTAGGCAGGCGCAGCTAACTGGTACCCCAGCCTTAGCTTCCAGGGGGCCAAGAGAACAAGCAAATGGACCCTTACCAGGACTCACACCATAGATATTTCCTCAAAATACAAGGAGGGTCAGATACAGCCAAAAAATGACAAATGTCCTCTGTAGTTGAGATAGGAAATAACACCCTCCATGTGCATCTTAGAAAGCAGCTTGGATGATGGATTCTAATGATTTGATTGAAGTCTCTTTTGAGCCCAGAGCAGAGGAGCTTGATGCTTTATTGGATGCTAGGGGTGTATGTATGAGAGAGACGGTGGAATCCAGGACCACTCTCAGGTTTCTGGCTAGGATGACTAGGTGATTTGCTCTGCTCTTGATCCTCACAAAAATATCATGTAGTGGGCAACACATGTTATCATCTCCCTTACCTTGTCCTGTAGTCAGTAGGAGTGTGGCTGGATCCTAGGTCTCCTAACACTAGGACAGGTAGTGGAGTGTTTAAGAGGCTTTGGATCCAATCTTCTTATTCTTGGGTTCAACTCCTGGCTGACCACTTCCCAGCTGTATGATTTCGGATGTGTGACTTAACCACTGCATGTTTCAGTTTTCTTTTCTGTAAAGTGGGGGTAGCAAAAATACCTACCTCAAAGGGTGGTTGGCAGGTTGTCATGTTGAATGAACCTGATACTATCAAGTACTCAAAAAGTGTTACTGTTGTTAGTTATTATTGCTCCAATTAGTCCAAAGAGTTTGGGGGTCTTTTACATCCCTATGAAAAGGTTGATCTGAAAAAAAACCAGAATGGTCTTTATCAGTTAGGGTCTACTGGGCATACTCTCTGTAATAGAATAATGGAAACCAGCCCAAGTACAGTTACTTACAGCTGCTTATAACAGGTGAGACAGTGTAGGGCTTAGTTGGAGACAGTGTTCCAGGGCAAGTTGATCACAAATCAAGAACATGATTTCTGCAGATCGACCAACACTATGTCTTCTGCATATTCTGATTTCACTTTTAGAAACTGTCAAATCACAAGTCACTTCTAGCAGGGGAATGACACAGCATTATGAAACCTCCTCTCTGGCACGAGCAAGTCGGACAGGTTTCTTATGTAATAAGAGCTTTGCCATCTCACCCGGGGCTTGGCACCTTGCCAGTCCCTCTATACCCCCTGAGCAAAAGGCATCAAGATATTTGGAAAGCTGGGTGTGATCCAAGCTTAGGGCATGGGGCAATGTGCTGGTCAAGGCAGTGGGAGGCCAACTCTATTCTGGCTGACAGAGACACAGGAATGTGTGGGGTTGGGTGAAGGGAGAGGCAAATGCTTAGACCCCTGGTGTTTCCAACTCCAACAGAGCATGCATGGAGGAGTCCAGGTCTAGACATACCTGGATGCAGTGGAGCCCACAGACCTCACAAATCTCCTGGAGTTTCCTGAAGAGTCCTTCATTATATATCGGGTCATAAAGGTTGGAGTTCTTCCCAGGAGCCTTTCCCAATGCCCATGGCTAAGAGCTGCATGTAGCACTTTCACCCACAATAAACAGCTTGCATAACAGGGCAGGTCTAAATTTTCTAAAGGAAGGAAGAATCCAAGGCCAAGAAAGATAAAGATCAGCTTTCCAGCTGGAAAAGAAATATCCTTCTATGCAGACTAATGCAAAAACAAAAATTTACCAAAGCTTTAGGCACAAACATTCCATTTGTTTTTCATTCTGAACTGCTGGGATAACCATAGGACACTCACATTACACATGAGGTCTGGGCAGAGCTAATTAGAGTGAATCAGTTCCTCGAAATATGTCATCTCTCTACTTTCCTGAGTCCTCTTAGATGAAACTGGCTTTGAAACTGGATAGATTACAACTTTAAGTGTAGAATCTACAATTTTGGGCAGTTTATGTTAGGGAAATTAATTTTTCAGGATAATGCTATTTTCGATATTGCATTGAAAAAGGGAGAAAAAATTTAATACTTATATCAACTCCATTACCAGAGCTTGCTTTCGCAGTTTTAGTGGAAAGAGTCTTGTTAGACAGGTGGATCTCTACCTTAATGATGAGATTTGCTACTACTTATGTCATGTAGTGTCCTCAGCATTTTGAATACATTATCTCTAACTTTCACAACAAGCCCGCAAGCTGGACATTATTGCTCCACTACAGGGATGAGGAAACCTGGGTTTGGGGAGGTTACCTTGTCTAGGAAGGGAAGTGGGAAGGGTACTATGATGTCTCTCCCTGAAAAAGCAGATGATTCTAGAGTGAGGGTGTCTTCTGGTTTAGGTAATTCAGATTAGACCCAAACTTTCATTAGAAACTTGATCCAACCCTTTGTCAAGTGGCATGCATTTTTGAGGTGAAATCACACTTCCTTTAAGGGTCAAAGTTTCATGTTTTAAATTTTTTGATTTTTTTTTCCTCTCTTGCTTCAGTGCAATCAATCAGAGCAGGTTGGGCATGGAAGTACCTGAAATTTGTGAGCAGGTCTTGGGTGAATGCTGTTAAGAACAGCAGTTAGTCTACTCAGGCCTTGAGCGTTGGGAGACGCTCCATGGAGAGTATGCCCCCCTTCAAGGACAGTTCCTGTAACTACACAGTTTTTTCCTTTCACCTTGTGCAAAAAGAGGCAACTCACTCACCAAGCAGCCCCCACCTCTGCCCACCCCAGTCTATCAACAGGTAAACTCTCGGAGGACAGAATCCATATTCGATTTATCTTTGCACCTCCCACGCAACCCTTGCCTGAGCCCTGCCGGCAGCTGGGCTCTCTTGATCTAACTGGTGGATACAAAGCAAGATGCCACGCACCAGAGGAGATGAGGGCACCGAATGATTCACGCTTCCCTGTTCTCAAGAAACTGATATTCTAATGGGGTGATATGAAACCATCAGAAAAAAATAAATCCAGCTAGTGTTTGAATCTGGGGACATAAGCGTTAACTTGCATGGTAAAGACCGCAAGTGTGGCAAGGAGCACAGTGGGCTGGAGTCCTCAGGACGCGTCATGCAAGAGGAGAAACGTGGAGGATGGATAGGATTGGGGTGGGGAGGAGCACGGTGGATGAGGGCAGCAAACCGGAGGAGTGCAGGGCAGAGGACATTGTGGGAGGTGGGGGAAACAGCATCCCTTGCATTACCGCTGCTTTCTTTTTTTCAGCCCTCCTTAGTCACCATTCAAGTTGGGCTTCTCCACAAGTTTCTATTGTATTTCCGTGTCTTTCCACAGGAGCCCTAGTGATGTGGTGGCAAAGTGTGGGACAGGGGCACAGCCCACAGTCCTGTGATTAGTCTCAGTCTGTCAGCGGGTCTGTGCATCCGGGCTGTGACCGTCTCAAGTGCTTCTCAGTTTTTCCCCCACCTTAGGTAAGACAGGATGGCTAGAGGGGGTTGGAGTTGGGTGGGTATTCCCCTTCTCCTAGGTCAGTTAGGCTGTAGCAAAGCCCTAGTCGGTTAGGTTCTGGAAAACAGCTTCTCTTGAGGGTGGGCCTTATTCAGAACAGAATGTTCTGGCATATTTCAAAATGGCCGCTTTCCCCTGAAGCACAAGGAGGTATGCTCTGACCGTCACTGTGAAAATCTAGTAGTACTTCTGGAGGTAACAGTCACAAAAATGTGGGGAACCCCCTTAAGACCAGCTCCCCCTGGAGTTGCCATCTCTCGAGCTTGTCCACACGGAGCCTCCAGCAATGCATCAGTTAGGGTTAGTGACTGGCTCCAACGGAGGTGTCTGCTCTAGTCAACGGTGATTCTCGGGATCCACCTGTCTCCCTTTCTCTAATTTTGGAAACAGTGGTTTGCCTTGTGACCTCAATTCTCTGCTAGGTCTAAGGAGAGTTGTTGACTTTTAGTTTGTTCAGCTTTTTCATTATTGTTTCAAGTACTGGAGTGATGATTTCTGAGCTCCTTGTATGCTGGATGGGACATGTTTTGAAATCAGCACTTTCCCACAGTGTGTTCGGCAAAACATGACTTCTACAGAGTTCTACAAAATGTTAGAGTTTGATAACAGAAAGGTCCTGTCTTCAAGAAACCTTGAGTAATACATGTTTCTTTACAGCAGGTCTTTTCAGTGCCTTTATTATACTAATAGGTATTTTATTCTACTTTATAGGACAATAGATTACATTGTTTACTAAGTTGATTTGACCATGAAATTCTTTTGGGGAACAGTATTTCATAAAACTGCCTTCCTCAGAATATGGGAAGTGCTGCCTTTAAGTGTTTTTAACTACCTTCTCCTTCCCCATGGTTGCGCAACCTTTGTGGGCACAGTTGATATAATTAGTCCTTTTAGTGTTCATTCATCCCACAGATATTATATACTTATTGAGTCTCTGCTAGGTGCAAGGCAGTGTAATAGCTCTGGTGGGAGGATACTAAGTGTTCGGGACACGGTGCCTTTTAGAGTTTAGAGTCTGGTTTGGAAAGTAAGAAAGATATGCACAGAAATAACTCTAATTCTAGAGGCTTCAAAGAGAGAAAGCCCCCCCCCTCCCATTTCTACTATTTATGAAAGATGAGTCAAATTAAACCAGAGAGCCAAAACCTAAAACAATTTTTTTAAAAATGAAAGCTGTTCACTTCCTGCATTTCACTGAGGTGCCAAGTTGGCTTCAGGAGTGAAAGAGTCCTGTGGATCAGGTTTCTTGGCGGAACATCAGTCTGCACAACGCTGCCCAAAACCTGCCATCTTCTTTGCTGATGGTGTGCCCATTGCGACATCTCCTCCCTGTGGCTGCAGGGGTCCCTGTGGGAAACATCTGTAGGCAGGAAACGAAGGGCTGGGTAGACTCACTCCGAGTGTTCTCGGTAGTGCTAGGGCTTTGTGGAGGAGTGGGGCGGGCTCTGTGGCACCATCCACCTGTCAGCCTCTTGCCTGACTTTTGGACACAGCCTTTCCTGGCTAAATGACTCGTCCTTCCAGAGCAGGCCTCTAGCTTCCAGTTATGGACGATACAAGAAAATAAGACAGAGCTGCTTTTGCTCTAGGACCAAGCACCCAGAAGGAACCACAAATTGTCCATGAGTAACCAGTGGGTCAATTATTGTGAAGAGGAGTGATCTTATATTCAGGCTGGTGGTTTAGTGCAATCTGAGATGGCTGAGAAGATGCTGCCCCAGGTCTTTCCCCTGCTTGGCTCCCTCACTTGGATGCAGCTGTGCCTGAAATCCACACTAAGGTCAACCTTTTTTTTTTTTTTTTTTTTTTTTTTTTGGCTTAAGCAGTTTTCTGAAAGTCATCTCCTTTGCAAAGGCAAATACTTATAGGGAGGAAGATATGATTTCAATACGATAGCCTTCTCATGGCTGTTGTCAAATGACAACATCTTGGAATAAAAGGAATCAAAGACAAATAATTTCATTTTGTTCCTCAGTTTCCTTGTTTGTAAAATTACAAGAGATGAAATAAGAAAGTTCTAAGCTATGTTCCTACTTTATGATTCATTACCACTCTCAGAATTGAGGCAGTATGAGGGCTCTGGTAACTCAGGGGAAAGGGCGGAGAAGGCCTCTCAGGCATGAAGTAAGTTAATGGGTTGTAATCAGCATTTATGTTCTGCAATGGAAGAGAACAGGGAATATCAGATGACACTGTATGTATAAGGGCAAGTATTGTTCTGTGAAACTTTTGTTGATGTAAAGATGTAGGCATAGATACAGGTAGATGTGTAGTTATATGATATATACATATAGTATTTGTTGGTGTTCTCCAGAGAAGAGTTAATGTCATAGCTTGAGTTTGAAGGCGGTCTGGAGGCAGAATTCCCTTTTACTTGGGGGACGTTAATCTGTTTTCTCTGAAAGTCTTCCACTAGTGGTGGGCAAGGCCCACCCACATTATGCAGGGTATTTGCTTTACTCAAAGTCTACTGATTTAAATGTTAATCTCATCTAAAAATGCCTTTACAGCAACATACAGACTAATGTTTGACCAAATACCTCGGTACTATATAGCCCAGCCAAGTTGATGTGTAAAATTAACCATTCTACAAACAAGTGTGTGTGTGTGTGTGTGTGTGTGTGTGTGTGTGTTCATTGGGTAGTGTAATAAAATATCTTTCTCATAGCAGATTGTGGGCAGGAAAGTTGAAAGCTTCTGTGAGTCCACAAAACAATTCTTAATCCTGCTTCTAAGACAACACTGTCCCCATCATAAGAAAGAGTCCGTACCACCAAATGTCAAGTGTCCTTCACTATGCCTGCTCTTGGCCCTTTAAGGAAGACCTGGACACTGTTGGGCTGCTGTTCCAGCATCCTCTCAGACCTCCCTGATGCTCGTTTTGCTTTAGGCACCAGCTGCTGTTTCTTTCTTCATTGACGCGCTTATGTGTTCCTACCCTAAGGCCTTTGCATTTGCTCTCCCTTCTGGAAGGTCCTTCCCCAGGTCTTTACAGTGGCTGGCTCCATCTCATCTTCCAGACCTCTGCTCATCTACTCCTACCTCCTCATGGAGGCCTGCCTTGACTATCCCGCTCAGGTAGCTCTGCCCACACCCACGCCCTACACAGACCCACATTCCCCAGTGACCCTGTATCCTAGTACATGATTTGATTTTCTCCATTGACTCATCAT